AGGAGTCGTGACTGTGTTGAAGGGCGCGGCACGGGCCAAAGGACACCATCGAAATGCGAGAAGCAGGGGGCAGTCATGGTGCTACGAGGGGTAATGAATACAAAAACATTTATCAGTCTTGACAAACTTCATTTTTAGGGTACAGTTCCGCTGGCGTCTATTCATCCTCTCAAACATCGAAGAACCGAGATTGATTAGTACATGCTCTGTGGTACCATGGGGGCCGAGTTCGCAAGCATGCTCTCCGTCGACATTTGTCGTTCATGCTGGTATATATGCGGGAGAGTCCGTCCCATGGCGCGCACGGACCATGGATAGAGTAACGTTAGGTCAGGGTTGGAGGGATGTACAAAACTCTCAACGGACGCATTTCTGCTATGTGAAATCGAACTGTACATCGGAGGGGCGGGTGAGTTTGAGTGGGTATGTCCCTGGGTGATACAAGTCAGTGAGAATACACACACGATAATCAAATTTCAGGACTTACCGGGGTATAGGAACTTTGTTGAATATGAGGTGTTGGTGCGGTTGTCATGGTCCGCGGATTAGATGGCGAATACGGACCTCCGGCTGCACTGTATTCCGGTGCTGCCGTTCTGGCCGATGAAGGAACCGACCCAGATGGCACAGATGCTGTAACACCTTGGGGGTATTCTGGAGCCATTGGTGTCACTGAGTGTGTAGAGGAGGAATCAGGATCTCCAATTTGGATGACCCCTTCATAGATTCCTCGATCAAGCTCGTCATCACTCGTCCGTTCATGCACCGGTGCGAGACCGCTCGTCCATCTCGGTCTCGTTGCAGCGCTTGGGCTGCTGAGCGATCCATCCCCATGCCCCACAGAACTATTCTCATCAGGACCCTCCACCACCCAGCGACGGCTTGGAACTTTTGGCTTGACCTCTCGAGGACCCACACCAAAAAGACGCCACCATCGCCATAATCGCCTCCCAGGTCGCTGAGACTTCTCATGTGTTGGTTTGCGCAAAGGTTCGAAATGATATTCGTGGGGTGGGAAAGAGAATTCGATGGAGTCTCTTAGTGGGGTTTCTGAATCGGTTGAATCCGATCGAGTATACGTCGGATGATATCTTCGTATGTGACGTGGAGTGGCCATGGACTCATCCAGCGTAACGGGTACGCTGGCATGCTGTACTCGACGACGGTATTGAGGCGTGAAGACTTGGGAAATTCTCGAGGTGGATGCATCTCGAACCCGGCGAAGATGATATTTGAAATGGTCCGACCATCTGTGCCATATGATGTATGCAGCAAAGATCAGAACGAGTGCAACGCCAACAATTATGGGGGTTGTTATCTGCATAGGACTCCAGTTTGAGTCATCTGAGCTATCACTGGCGTTGGTGGCACGGGACTATATTGGATATTTCAGCCTCGCAGCCAGAAACTGACAATAGATACCTACGGAGAGAACCTGATAAGTAGCAAGTAGTACAGCGTTCATGGGATGATGTTGTCAAAATGCTTCCGTTCATAAATCAATGAGTGCTTACCTGGTGCTGGACCTGAGATCGAGACGGAATGAGAACCATGACATCAAATATGACTCACAACCCACGAGTGAGAGAGGGAAAGACGACAAGTTAGAGATCACGAGCGTCAAGTGCTCCTACTGACCGCTGGCAAGGATATTTCTGGCCCAGATTGCCACCGCTGGCCGGGCCCGGAATCAAATAATAATTCCGTGCCTGATACCTGTATGCATTACTAACCTCCTGCAACATAATCATTCATCATTCATCAAACTGAAAACGCTCCGGAAGCTAGATGTCTCAAGGCAGAAGTCACTCCCTAAATTACTCAATGTACTAGTACTATTGGGGATTCACAGCTTGAGTGGCCCTGCCAAAGGCGATGACCTAAGCACAAGGTGTCCATGTCATCTATTAATATTGAGTTGTGTTCTACGTAAGCGTGACGGCGTACTTACTACTAGTAAGTACAGAGAAACGAAATCTATCTGAAAATTTACTATGTAAGTTAGTGAGGATCGGAACGTTCAGTACGTACCGTAACCACATCAGTAGCGTAGTTGGCTGATGGCACGCGATCGCGTGATCACTTTCTTTCTCCATCCATTCCATCGCAACTGCGACTCGGACACGAGGCAGCTCCGCCATGCCAAAGGGTAAAACAGTTGATCCCCTTGCCATGACCATTAGTTTTCCGATTCACCAGCCAGGAAATAGCGGATGGTTTTGAGATTTTCTAGATCTACTCGGGAATTTAAAAACTGAGCCTCACCTGAGAAACATGTCAAGAAATATCTGAATTTGAGAACCAAAATTGTTCCGTTCGTGCAGTGTTAGTGGGAGTCACAGGTACATCCGTCATGAATAGTAACAATCAGCATCCGAGGCGCATTTGGCCTATACATATTAGTAAATTTGATGTGAATTTAGGCTTATTGATGCTTCGCGAGCAGCCTGCGGACATTTTGTCAATGTGATAAGATTTGAAGTGAGGCAGGGCGTACTACTGGCTCTCCAGCGTTGAAAAGGCCATCAGGCCGAAGAGACTGACTTGAAGGACTGGTAGAATTGACTCAACAAAACACTTTAATGGGATTCATCCTCCGTAACGAGAACCTCTTAAGTAAGTGGGGTGAGGTGGGGCCATATCTGCTTCTGCAGGGGTAGTAGAGCTGCACAGCGTGGGGCCCTGAATATGTTGCAATCCATGTGCCAATCAATCCCTCAATTCCAGATTAGAAGTAAGTTTGAGACATCACTTCCGGGTCTTTTCTTTGTACCACGACTCACTGAGAGATTCGATTATATCGCCGATCGCTCTTTCGTGTATGCCCTCCACTACCTCAAGAGCCTCAAAGCGCGTCTCGCAACATTAAGATAGGTTCGTCCTGCTATGCCAATTTGAACAGATAAACCGGAAAAGAGGAAGTGAATCATACTAGTTGAATATCAGACAGTCTCGTCAGGAAGTTGGTTACCATATGACCCTTGGCATGGAGGAGATACGGGAAATTTTCGATGCGATATCTTGTAGAATAATTCACGATGAGTCTCACTCCAGAAGTTCACATGACTCACGACGCAAGGAGAGGTAGAAACGCAATTTAATATTACTTGATTTCAGCTAGGATGAAGACGCGTCAGTTAGAAATATGAATGGACATTGCCTGTATAAACGTGAGTAGGTCAACACACCAGAGAAACAGACCACTCACCAGATGTGCAAAACAGATTTTGAAAACTTGTCAGTTCCAGATTTCATCAGCCCCTATGTACTACTCACAAGTGAAAGGAATGACTGCGTTACCAGCTGCGATGCCACCGCCTGCCAGCGACGCAGCCGACATTTTTGCGTGACTTCTGCAGAATCTGCACTTTCAGTTTCAACTATCTCGCTCAATTCCGCTTCCGTTGTGGTCGTTCGACCTCGTGAGTATTAGAGAGAGAATGATATTCATGATGAGTATTTTGTGAAAGTACTGACTTTTGTAGGGTGGGAAGTATATACCACCAACGACTCGGATAATGTACAAATATATTTGAAGATATAGATGATTTTATGGCCCATTTTCCAATGCTGTGCACGGAAGCTGATCGCCCAGAGGCATCAATAGTTCCCGAGCAAAACAGTACAGAACACTTTGCAGAAATTTTCCACAGTGGAAGCAGAGCGAAATGATGTTACTTATGCTACCAAATACTCCCGGGGAGTATAGCCGCATGATTTGAACCCTAAAAGCTGGAGCACCGTAATTAAGAACCATTACATGCAAAACTTGCTGTAGGCTGCCGTCAGGTAATGCTCAGTGCATCTAATGTACTAGTACAGTCGTGGTAAGTCGACTCCAGTCGTGCAGTCAGAGCGCCGATTTCCATCAGAATATCCACGAGGTGAAATGCAATCAATCACATTTAGAAATAAATTTTAGCTGGGACTAACGCACTCAGATTTGACGATCAAGTCAATTGAATAATGCTCGAGTGCGATGGCTGTTATGCTTCCTTATATGTACTCACGAACTACGACGCTCCAATGTGAACTTAAGTAATTGCGCGATACTACCGTGGAGGCCGCCTCGACAGAATTTACCCAGCTAGCTGCTTTGTAAGTTGCATACTAAACTTTCCTATGCCAAAGCATGGCCCCTTCCCAAGTAGATCATAGTCATCAGTATCTGAACAGAGGGGGACTCTAGTTCTGCCTCTAGTCGAGTCACGAGTGTTTGCGAAGGATACCTGTGTCAAATGGCCGCAGCCTCATTCCCTGATCGATATCAGCTGAGGTTGCCCCAGAAGTACTGCCAGACTACATATGGAAAGGTGTTTGATTAATATCGGCCAGTACGTACCCTTAAGCATCGACCGCTCGAACCTCCTTGTGAATTCTCTTGGAAAATGGAAGCAACTCGGCTGTAGAGATGGACGGGTCTGGCCAGGTTCTCCCAACAAGCATAACCCTGAACTAAACCATCAATTCGGTCTGGGAATGGTTCTGTTCCGGTACAACAAGGACCTGAACCCAGAACCGAACAAATGATGATCATGACGATTGATGCACCCAAGAGCTAGACGCAGTGACCTTCAAGTTGAGAACATAGTAGACCGATAGTAGACGGAGGCAGACTCGACAACGACCCAGTTTCGAAAACGGCCATGCCAATCAGCCTCGCTAACGCGCTCGCAACCGCCGCATAACATCCCGTTGTAATGCTGCATGTTCATGCTTCGATGAATCGTGATATAGCAACATCAGTCGGTTATTGGTAAATGCCAGAGTTTGGGCCAACCAAAGTATGCACATAATTGCACTTAGACCAGCCATTTCAGAGACGCCCTTGGTTATCGAGGGGGAAGTATATTGGGGGATGCTGACAGTGTGCGGCTGAAGCTGGATGATGTCATCGTTGGGGAAGCCAGCAAACATCACAAGAACTGGCAGAGATAGATGTATGACATAGCAGCGAGCTCACTGTGTTACTCCATCGCACCCAAAAAGCTCCCAGAAGTAAATCCTTGGTGCTGTTGCAGACAGTGAGCAAGCGTGAGAAACAGTGGCGGACACAGTAACTTTCATACTCCGCTTGAAGGTGTGGCCTGCCGTGTGCCCGGCTGCTGTGCCCGATATGGGCGGTCTCCGCGGTGGCAGAAGAGACAAAAAAATAGAGGTCATGTGAGAAATGGCCAGTCTGCGTAAAGTCTGCGCAATTTCTGCGCCACTCTGGCGCTCACATCTGGGGTGGCTGGTGGGAATGGTTAAAGGTCTGTCTGTTGACCTTCATCATCACGACCAACCACCGTCAAGGTACTAGCCACCATCATCGGAAATGTTTTATGACACGCAAGTCCGTTAGCTGATATGGCAGATGACGTGAAGGGTGGCGAGCAATTTGAAAGGCAGGAATGAAGATGGTGGGTAGGATGATGGTTGTCAGTGGGCAGAATGTTGGTACTTTTGGCTCGGCAGGAAAAATATCTTGGCGATAAGGAATGGGGCTGCGGTAGCTGCGAATGTTCGACCGAAACTGACCAAAGAAACTGTACAAACGCCTCAGGAATGCTTGCCTACCAGACTCCAATGAACATCTGCACCACAAGGCAGTCTGGATCACAGTGGCATAAATCATCAAACTTACATCAAAAATAAATAAGAAATGGTGACCTAACTCAAGGGGGCGCCGATGTTCTGAGGTAGCACTACAGTTTGCCAGCCTCGGAGACCACCACTTGGTTGAATGATAGCAAGAAATCTGAGCTTGCCGGTACATGAGCATAGTTTGACCAACATGAAAAAGTAGATACACCTTCCAACCACTAGAATAATCTAGTATTTTGATTCCACTGTCTGTTCCGTGTTTAGAATGTCATCTTGAAAACCACAGTCACGTACTCATCATAGCGCCTATAAGCTAGGTTAGGTTTGCGAATGACTCAAGGTATGCCATCATAACCATATACAAAGGACATCATAAAGCTGTAGGGGGTAAGCTAACAGAGTATCAGTCAGCTGTTTAAAAACTTGCATGATACTGGTCCGACACCGAGTCCTTCTTCCCTCATCGTGTCTCCGTGAGGAGCATATGAGTGTTCCTGAACCACGCTCTCGAATAGAGAAGCTGAGTGTAGGTGGGATCCCTTTAATGATGATAAGAGAATCAAAACTTGTTGTTCGTTGAGCGACGACGATACGAAATGATCGAAGGAGTGACTTGATATATAATCTTAAGTCCTGGAAACATTTGGGGCTTTATGCTGGCGGTAGGTTTATGTGCAGCTGATTAGGATTAATGACAAAAACGAATCCTACCACGTTCAAGTCAAACCCAGAGCTTCGGTAGGATCGTTTGGAAAAAAAGACAGATAAAGTTATACATACTTTGCAACATAACAAACCGTAACAAAGTTGATACCAGTCCCATCAAGACGCAATACAACAGGAATAACCCCAAACTTTCGCATTCGTCGGTGTATCATGAAATTGCACAGTGGTGTTCGACCGTCACGTAGTAGTGCAGCGACTCGGTAAATTGGCACCTGCAATTTCAGGAATGGTGAGAGCCTCATTTCCGCTGTGAACATCCAGAAGCATTTTCGAAGTCTCGTGCCAACAACAAACTTACATGATCTGCAAGGAAATAGGTTCTACACGAACATTGGTATTCCACTGCGAACCCATTCAACAAGTTTCGGCCCTAATAGTCAGACCAACGCAGTCGGAACCTCACTAATCGGGCCTCAAGTCCGCCTGAAAATTTAGCTAACTGTAAGCGCTGTCCCGCGGAACGAGTATGAGCACTGAGTACTGAAGATCCGAGGGAAATAAAATATATCCATGATTGTGTATATGGGATGAAATGTGTATGTACACAAAAAGATTTCATGATAAGCTTGTCACATAATTGTTTATGTAATTAGATAATAGCTGCTCGACGCTTAGCCTGAGGTTGCCCGACATCATCCTGTTGGCACCGGACGAACAACTTTACTGTGAACTCATTTAACAACGATTTGAAAGCCGCTGTCCCTATAATACAGCATTAATGTGCGTTTTCATCCCACTAATCTCTTGTTCAGACTCCCATCGTGCCATGCTTACTGCGAAGCACCTGTCAATGGCATTGCCTCGTCCTAATACCTAGCTTGTCTGCGTGAACCTGCGTGAACTCGAATGGTTGGAGCAGGTTGGAGTCTTGAAGGAACACTCTGTCAAATCCAATGAGATGGTACCATTCGTGATTCGGCAGGACATTTTACTCCTCCCTCCATTTCCAAGTTAATGGTTCTCGACCATTCTGGCACTCTAGGGCATGCACAACCCTCTCAGGAGTCCCAGATCTGGATAATGAACAGCTGAAATTTCCTTCTGTTCCATTCTCTTGTCTGCAACGAATTTGTATCAGGCGCCAGGCGCCAGCCATGTGTTTGTGGTAGGTGGTTTTTACGAAGTTCTAGCTTTCTTTAGGTCATTCGGTAGCTGGAGCAATGGTGGCGTAGGAGAGGTGATCTTCATTGCGGAATTATGTGTGTCTAGAACCACACACGCCAATTGAAGCTGGACAGTACCGTGCAGTGAGATCAATTCTAGCGTCATGCGCTATTCTGACGCAAATATTTTTGTGCTCGACAGTGCATCGACGCGTGCTCTTCGACGAAGGCTCTGCATGTTTCCATATATTGAAACTGTACCTACCCGATGATGCCTTTCTTATCGGATGTATTAGGAGCTGTCTCAAGCTTGACGTGGCCTATTGCGTTTCGACCCGTTGTTGATATAACGGTATCCTCATGATCTTCAAGTTTGTGACCATCTCGGATCTAGAATAACCAATCAAAACCCCGATCATGGGTCCCGCAACCCTACTCATGTAGGTTAGTACTAGGGTCAGGCACAAGTCAAATACGGACCGAAGCAGGATGGGCAAGCCGTTTCATGTTTTTGAGGCGTGACGAACTGCGGTGCGTGGCATTTGCACCGCGGGATCGATCCCAGGACTGGCTGTTGCCATGCGTCAGTGGTATGGCTGGACAAAGCCCATTTAGAACCCTTTTCTACTGATTCTTCTCTGCAGCCGTGATGTCGATTCAATCCCCCACGGAACTGGCCTCGTGGTCTTTCACTGTGTCACACCACAAATGATTGACTGGCAAGGGCCGGTGACCGAGATCGTTTCCGTGTTTTCTAGTAACCCCAATTCAGCGTGCTTAGTCACGCTTTCTCCCACGGGATACCTCATTACTTACATACTTCCTCTTTTCAATGTAACGCATGCCATGGCACCCTTGGTGATAATCACCGGCCAGCCTCGTGTGAGTACATTCTGAGCTCATTAAACATTACCAGCACGGGCTCTTTGCTTCTTACTTCCATCATCCGCCATCTATCATGCCGCCTCCTCCTCCGCCGCCTCCACCGCCCATGTGCTTTCCTTTCACGAATCGTTCACGAACTCGCGAATCCAGCCCTCTCATGGTTCGCACAGACTCGGAAAAATCTTATGCATCGTCTCAGAGGTCCGAAAACCGCTCCAACCGTTCTGAGAAGTCCGACAATAATTCCCATCGTTCGTCTCAGAAGTCCGACAACCATTCCAATCGTTTGTCTCAGAAGTCTGACAACCATTCCAATCGTTCGAAGCGATCGCGTAATTCTACCGGCTCCCCAAATAAGCTCGTCCGCTCTGGGTCTTACTCCACCACGCGGACCCTCGCATCAGACGTGGAGAAACTATCTTTTGATTCGGATTCAGAAGTTTACGACCTCCCTACACTTGCTGACGACAGCCGCATCAAGCTCTCCCCGCTCTCTCGCAGTGACAGCAAGTCTGGTCTGACGAGGGTCGATTCGAAGAAATCCACGAAGTGGGGATATGGGTGGGGATTGGGAAAAGCCAAGGAGAGGGAAAGAGATATGTTGGAACGATCGCCCTCTGTCGATTCGGAAAGACCTCCGCTTTACAAATCACCTACTCGTACTTCCTCCAGGTCCAGCGGCAGCAAACGCCCACCTTTCTACTCGAATGACTCTGGGAGCACGCTTGTTGGGTCTGCTTATGAACGCAAGATAAATGACGTCGAATTCATCAAGGAGAAGGTAGACACGGCAGAAAGATTGGAAGAGATCAGGAAGTTGATGGCCAAAGAGAAACTTGATTACTAGTGAGCAAAGCCCATATCTACGTTTCTCCAGGCTCACATTTCTACTTCAGCGTTGTGCCCAGTGAGGACCCCCATCAGTCCGAGTATGTCGCAGCGAGTGATAAACGTAGGGCATGGATCTCTGGGTGAGTTGGGATCTTGGCTGTTCTACTTCGGATCTGACGTGATTGTCAGGTTTACCGGAAGTGCGGGCCAAGCTATCATTTCAAAGACGGCCGCTTACTTAGTGACCGACTCGCGCTACTGGTTGCAAGCTCGCGATGAACTTGACTCAAACTGGCACTTGATACCTGGTGGGGCCGTAGATGGCCCTAAAGATTGGATTGATTGGTTGGTTGTGCGTGTCATCAGCTTAATTCCACGACTTTTCCTTATAGAGTTATGTTATATCAGGATCGTGTCAAGGATTCGAAGATTGGTATAGATGCGCGCATGATCTCACATGAGAAGGCTACCTTATTCAACACACAACTCAACCACAAGAACTCGAAGCTCGTCTATCCTCCCCAGAATTTCATTGACATGGTTTGGAAAGACAAGCCCTTGCGGTCCAAGGAACCCGTTTTTATTCAATCTCTCGAATTTACGGGCAGAGAAGCTAGCACAAAAATCGCAGAGGTTCGCGCTTGGATTCAGGCACAACCTCCGGCTGTTCCTTCGTACTCCAAAGCAACTCCGACTCCTGCCCAGATGCATATCGGCACATTGATTAGTTCTTTATCTTCAATTGGTGCGTTCAATTTCCACCGATATCTCTTAAGGAGATTTACAGAGATCGCTCCTAGCTTGGCTTCTTAACTTACGTGGCTCCGATATCCCTTTCAATCCCCTGTTCTATGCCTACCTGTTCATTTCTCTTGATAGGGCGGTCCTATTCTTGGATCCGGCCAAGCTTACTGATGAAGTGGAGGATCACCTACGTGCCCTCAACGTCGAGCGGAAGGAATATAACGACATTTGGGCTTTCCTCCGTCGGCGAGAATGGGGCGAGGGGAAAGTTCTTATCTCTACAGAAACTTCCTACGCGATCTCCTTGATGCTGACGCATTTCCGTTATACTGCCGTCACACCATCCTTCATTGACAACATCAAGGCTGTCAAGAATGAAGTAGAACTTGAAGGCTTGAGGCGCGCCTACCTTCGCGATGGTATTGCATATGTGTGTATCTTTGATTGACTGTTCTGATCCTCATCTCATGCTCTCTCGCTTAGGTTAAATGGCTTGCATGGTTAGAGCACAAGATCCAACAAGGATACGACATTACGGAGTATGAAGCAGCATGGCGTCTCACAGAGTACAGGAGGCAAAATAAGCACTATTGGGGTCTCGCATACGAGAATATCTCTGCAAGCGGGCCTAACGCGGGTAGGCAGCTTCCATAGCATGGTAATTTATATCGCTAATATTTCGGATCTTTCAGCTCTTCCCCACTATTCGCCCACGAAATCTGGCGCCCGGATGATTGATCGAGATACCCCTTACCTTAAGTGAGCATCGAGTCCCATCAAAGCTCGTGACCATTAACCTCGTTTACCCCAGTGATTCTGGAGGTCAATACCGTGATGGCACCTGTGACACAACACGTACAATTCATTTTGGAAGGCCATCAGTAGACCAATCGGAAGCCTACACTCGCGTTTTGCAGGGTCACGTACGTCACTGACGGTCATATCAGTCCCCCACACTTCCTCACGTTGTAATCTCAGATTGCCATCGATAGCGCAGTATTCCCGGAGGGAACCACCGGCTCCCAACTTGATGTTCTTGCTCGACGTGCACTATGGAAGGACGGACTCAATTACATGGTATGTTGCTTCCTTGACGTATACTTGACCATCACCTGATACGTGGTCTTGGACATAGCACGGCACTGGCCACGGTTTTGGCTCGTTCTTAAACGTTCATGAAGGCCCACACGGGTTTTCTAGCAACGTTGCTCTTGTTCCTGGACATGTCATAACAAACGAGCCTGGTTTCTGTGAGTTGCAAACCGAAATTTCTCCGTCGTGACTCATCATGGTGTGAATTATAGATCTGGAAGGCCGGTGGGGAATGCGCATTGAATCTGCGTTGGCTATTCGCAGAGTTAAGGTTCGTTGATTCTGTTTCACCACACCGCGATGGCATCTTACGATATTGGTCACCAGACGAAAGGCGAATTCAACGGCGACGTGTGGCTTGGGTTTGAACGCCTTACGTGTGTTCCGATCCAGACGCGGATGGTCAAAGAAAGTATGCTTACCAAGGAAGAAAAGCAATGGTTGAAAGTAAGCGATCAGTGATCCTCCACCTGCGGAGCCTTCGGTTATCTAACGTACCCGTTATCGCAGGATCACAATAAGAAATGCCTAGAAAGACTCGAACCACTCCTCAAGGATGATAAGCGTGCTCTCAAATGGCTGAAACGTGAATCTGACAGGGGTATTGGTCTCGCTGCTCCTGGCCCCGGCGGAATTACCATTGATTGGGACTAAATGTGGACCTGCTTTATCGATCTGAGCTACACCCTCCGTTATTGCGAAACCCTCCCCCTCTACCTCCACACCCCATTATATTATACCTTACTTGATGACTAACCAAGGAAACGTTGCAGGACGTCCCTTAAAGTGATACACGTACGACATATTCCAGAACGATCGACGAACTTCAAACGTTGATATTGTGATTTGCGCACAAATCATTGTACATACATACTTATATACCTTCTAGTATGGTCTAGATTCCTTTCTTTCTTTCATCGTTGAACTTTTTGGTTTGTCTGCAGGACAAAGTTCAAGTTGTACTATAGAATGGAATAGATTGCATGATATACGACAAAAATAATACATGAGCATACAATACGAACAGGCTAACGTCTGTTCGTTTTTCCGGCTTTCCGTTTGCCAGCGAAAAGATGTTTTGGCTGAGGAAGTGATTAACAACAACAAAGTGAAGATGTTTTCATGATCACAAACCATTTTAGTTTGGATAACACGATCAGCCTCTCCAGCTTTAGCCAGCCGGTTGCGCTCACGCTGTCCGAGGTTCCGTAGCTTGACGGCCTTGGAGGCTTGCTAAATAAAGAATATCAGAGAGTTATACGTCCAGATAAAGATAAAACAAACCTGCTGATCACGCATACCAGCAAATTGGCGATTTGATTTCGGGGCTCGCGGGTGCTTGGCGATAACGGAACCCGAGTTACTCTTTACTCGCTTATTCGGCGTCTGCTCCTCGCCATCAACATCCATCCAGTCACCTTCTTCACCCTCACTTGCGTCACCGTCACCGTCACCATCCTCCATATCAACATCCATGTCTGCTTCAGCACGTTTCCGCTTGGCGCCTTGAGCTTTGGCTATTATCCCAGCTCTCGCCTCTATGCTGCTTGGATCATAACCTGCTTTCTTGAGTTCAGTAGTGAGTTCAGACAGCGTGCGAAGGCCCGCTGTGCGTGGCAAGCGTGACTGGTTCTTCATGGCTTTCTTGACGTTCTGTGAATGTATTTTGTGCCCAAGAGCTTTTTTGGCTTCGACTGCTTCACATTCGTCTTCGGAGTCAAAGATATCCTCGTCGCTGTCGTAGAAGCCCTCGGCCTCGAGTTTCTCTTCCTCACGCTCAAGGGCCTCGAGTTTTTCGGCGATATCGGGGTCGATGAAGTCAGCAACGTTTTTGCCGTTCATGATTTCAGGCATAATGTCCATCTTCCACTCAGGATTTGCAAGAATGTAATCCTCTGCATGACGCGTCAGGAGGTACGTGAAATATACGGACGGGAGCTTACGCTTAATGTTGATGTTGAAAACACCAGGACCACCCTCTTCTAACTCCGTGTCTCGCAAAAGTTTCTTCCTGTCGGGATCATCCCTATCGTACTTCTTTCGCTCTTTGATAACATCCGGTATGCAAGGTGCACGGACAACGTCGTCCCGAGCTTTCGGCTGTGCCACATGTATACGGTTGATCACAGAGTTAATTTTGGTGCCCTTGAGTTTCGAGTCGACGCGGTGTGCTAGGAGGGCGTCGCATGCCTTGTTCTTGAGATCCATGACCCCCTCATCAGAATAACATGACACCTGGATGCATTGGACATTCTCAGTGTCAATAATTTCTTGAACAAGGGCGCGATTTTCAGGCGTAAGATCCTCAAGGCGAGTCACGTCGATTTTGTTGATGACAAGCATCGTCGGCTTGCCATTAAATAGAGGCTTGATAGAGTGGAACAGTTTACACTGCGGGTAAAAATTGGCACGTGGTCCAGACGCAAAATGTATGTTGCAATACGCACTTGAGCTTCCACAGTGTAACCACACTGTTCACTTAGGTCCATAAAATACAACACGCAGCTCTTGAGGTGTGCAAGAGCCGTAATACTCTGCATTTCAATCGTGTTCATCTCCTCCAGTGGGTGATCTAAAATCCCAGGGGTATCGATTACCTGCCACCTCAGGTACTTGTAATCTAGATGGCCAATAAAAAGGGACTTGGTTGTAAAAGCATATGGCTGGACGTCAACGTCCGCGCGTGTGACCTTGTTGATAAATGATGACTTCCCAACATTTGGGTAGCCGCAAATGAGTAGGGTCCGGGTGTTAGGGTCGATGGCAGGAAGACGGGAAATGTGTTGGCGAACTTGCTCGAGGTAGGCAAGGGGATCTTTCTGTCTGCGCATGATAGTGGCCATGCGACCCAGCGCTGCCCTTTTAAGTTGCTTGCAGCGGTATAAACTGTCGCCGAACTTAAGAAGCCGGACGTAATCTTTTGCAACCTGGTCAATGAGATGTCGACAAGTGCGAAGTTGGCCTAGAGCAAGTTTGTAGTGATTCTTGTCATACAATACATTCATGAGTGACGCCAGGAAAGGGTGCAAGTCCTGCCTCAGGTTTGTGAGTTTTGACTCCCCCAGAAGAGTATGATCAGACTCACGTCGAGGAGGGGGAACTCTGACAATATGGCTCCCAGTTTTTCATCGAAAGTGTCTTGCGTGAACTTGACTTTGCGCATGTAAAAATTACGGATACGGCTGATCTTGAAGTTTTTGTGGATTACCTGGAGCATTAAGATGATTAGATTGCCCTAGATGATATCCTCAAACGACTCACTGTAGGTGTCTTCCGCTGAGTCTTGGACAAGACGATGTCCAAGAAATCTGCCGCGGTGGGCACAGGAGCAATCGCCTTCAGCCCGCTGGTCGACATTTTGGAGGTGTAAGGCTATGAAAATGAGTATTTCGACCAAGTCGATGATCGAGGCTAGCCAAAGTTTTTGTATATTCCCACGGTCCTCATGTACTAGTAGTACTTACTGTCACTTTGTAAGTGAACTCGGTATCTACTATCGCGGATTGGGCGCATGCTTAATTAGTGGTTGGTACTAGTAGATCATCTTGCCAACCGTTTTTTTTGCCATAGTTTAAGTTATGCAGAAATTTTACTTGTGCTTCGGCAAGCCACATAGAAGGACTTGATGTATAGTCACATGATATGTGAGTTCTCCCGCTCATATTTGTCTTCGCAGAGCTTCACTCTTTGCGACAGTGCGATCCGGAAATCCAAATTACTCCATCTCGCCATTTGCATCAATTTAAAGAACAATTATTTCGTCCTGTGAACTGCCTGACTTCTGCCAGTTGTGCCTGCCGCGGACGTGACATGGCTGTTGCACTACCAGCTTCACTAGATTTATCTTCGTACTCAGTTTGCACTTCTGGCTAGCTTCGCTTATTGAGACGTAAGCTGACCCAAGGCCGTGTCACTGACGAGGCCTTGGTAAGGCTTACGCGGATCGCTTCTTGGCTTAGTACCGAGCGGCACCCTGACCAAGGCCCAAGAAACCAACACCCACCAGGCACCCTTGGCACTACTAGTCCTAAGGCGACTCTATCTTACTCGCCTTTTATATCACCGTCACAACTCTCTTCTCCCTAGATCCAATCGTTGCACTGGGACAAGTTCTTGGAGATGTGTTGATTGAGTTCTGATGACATCCCAACCCTGATGGCAGACGATGAGTTGCAGACTTTCCAGATCAAGAGCCGTTGCAGCGCTCGATGGATTGACTCTGGCGAGTCGCAGAGATATAGATCCACGAGCTATTCGAGGCCGACGTCAGACAAACAGATTCGAGAAAATATCAGCGCAGTATGTTCCATCTTCATACAGCCTCCAGATATCAATCATCAACGGCAATGATCGCTCGTTTCGACAGCTTCTCAAACTCGAGCTTAGTGGACCACGAGAAAGACTAGGCACAGTCGATCATTTTCAGATAACTTCAAACATCTACATTGCTCGAGCAGCACGAAGATTTCTCCACAAACAACTACACTGATTGACTCTGAACTAGATATTGCTCCATCAACCATGATACCAAAGCGAAAGCAGAAACATGGCTCACTGTCGCGATGTACCACTCGGGCCCCCGGCTCATTTTGGATGGTACGCGCAGATCTTTGGTCTCTAAGGCGTGCAGGTGAGTCATGTGGTTGAATCATGGTTGCACAGCGACCTGCTCATACTCACATCAGGTGGACTGATACATATATAGTGCGGGCAGCAATTTTTATCTGTTTTGCAGCCTGCATCTTGCAGGCCACATGCGGCACTGACAATCATAGCCGCTGTCAAAGAAGTAGCAACGGCGAGGAACGAGAAACGCATTTTCTGTGCTAGATGATGCTGCGAGGCGGCGATGAAGAATCCTGTGAGGGGATTCTCGAATGATATCGGGGAGCGCTATGGGACGACAGCCAGCTTTTATATCGTGCATATACTCATGAGCATGATTCTGATCGATCAGGCAGAATTGTTGTGGCTGTCTCGATGGCAGAAATTCTGGTAGAACCTGCAGGAGCGTGTTTAGTGCTGTGGGCAGAAGTCCCCCATTCTGCCAACTGGTTCTGCCAAACCGGTTCTGCCTGGCAGATGGCAGAATTCTGTGGGCAGAATCCTGGCAGAATGCCAAACTACAGGGGATCACACCATTCGAGTTCATGGTTGGAACTGCACTCGCCGTCGCTAAACAATGGCGATGGGGAGAGCAAAAGGCTAAACTGCTCGTCGACGACCTCAAAGCATATAACCTCTGTGGGTAGCACTCAGTCTCCGAAGTGCTGCAATCTCTCGGTAGACACGTTTGAAGCACTGGCCAAGATTTGAGCAAATCTTTGCTACCACAGTCACCAGAAGGCCGTCGTTAATGGCAAGCCAATTCGTTGACGTCATGCACACATGCACACCAATGCCCAGCCAGGCATCAACATCGAGAAGCCAATTTTGCGTGGGCACCACCACTCGCACCTCAGACTCAGAACATTGATGATATTGCGGGTCCTGAATCCATATCACTTGACGAGATTGACGCTGCATTTGCACTACTGGAACGCGAGAAAGAAGCCATGGAATGAGGACCGGTTGACGGAAATGAAGTGTTCAATTGAATCCAATTAATGGGTATAGTCCGTGATATGCGAGTTCTCCCGCTGTCTTTGAATCCGTCTACTAAATGGTTACTCCTGAATTCCAGTGCTTACAGATAAAGCAACATATATATATTGCCAACACAATTGTACAGCATACGAGTTCAATTCTATGCATGCGCAAGCGCGAAAGTATGGTGGACGATAGGTTATGGTTTAATTCGCCGATTTGCCGTGATAAACTTTGAAGCCCAGTGAAAATCGACAAGAATGAGGTAGATAGGTAGCAATAGACGTCTAATACAGAATGAGATAGATAGAATCTAAGAAATTCGAGACGGTAAAACTTTAACTTTGTGCAAAATGCAAAGAACCTAATCATTGTAGATTATGCCACCTGCCTCACCCTGCACTGAGAACGAAATCCCGCGACACGCATCACCCCGGCAAGTGTCTTTGCAACCTACTGGAACGGTCTATCGAAGACTGACAAAGAGGTATGTCGTTTTAGTATTGATGTCATTTATCTACTGACTAGCACTATTATTGAAGGTATACGCGGCTCTACAGGTGTGTGGTATTCACGATATCCACGAGTGTCTTCATACTAACAATGATTTGCCTTATAGATCGGTTCGGTTGGACCAACCGAAAGGAACGGCGCCGGCGATGATGCAGACAAGGAGTAGCGGATGGATACGAGGTGGGATGGCGGGCACGGGATGGCGGGATGGCGGAGGCGGGCGGGCGCGGGCGCAGCGATACCACTACCTAACCATAGCAATACCTATAGATACATCATTCAATGGCATTAGATACCTATTCATCTCATCTCATTGGAACATTTTCAGCACATGTTTGCATCTAAAACCCATCTAAAGCCAACTAAAATCGTATCGAAGCTCGTTTCGGTCTCTATCGTTTTTCGTCTCGAAAAGTCCCACTTTCCTAAAGAGGTCGAAACATAACGAAAAATTTCATTCCCTCATATTTTTTTTCGATCTATATCTACACATATCTACCTCATTCTTGTCGATTTTCACTGGGTTTGAAGTCCGATCGATGCTTGTTCTGCGTATGTATACCCAGAAATTTTATTAGAGAACATGCAAAGGATGCAATGCAGTCTCCAATCGACGAAAACAGCCGCGGGCGCGCACCTCCATCTGGTTCAGTCTTCAGTATAGTATAGTAGTTCATGATAGTGAGTTCTCTCGCATAATCACTCACTTGAACCGACTCTAGCAGCACTCCACTCTTTGCAATTCAGAAATACAAATTTCTCCACTCATGCTATTTGCGTGCTGCTAGTCTTGAAAGAACAACCGTTTCATTTTGCGACCTGGTGTCCACTGCCTCATTCATTTTGGCCGGTCGTGCCTGCCGCGGACATGATATGACTTGCAATACCAGCTTCACTAAAGATTAATTTGATCTGCGAGTATCGGCGAGAATGATGCTAACTTCTTGACTTTGTCGTTGCACTAGCAGGGTCAGTGCAGGTTCAAATGATGAAGCGAAGAGTGAGGGGTTAGGACGAGAGGCCGGTGATTCGAGCAAGGGTTCTGTCATTACAAAGAAGAGAATTGTTGATGCCTGCAGGTAGGTTATGATTCAATGGTCGTTGTTAATCGAATACGCTCCCGCAGGTTCTGCCGAAATTGTTCCGTGTAAAAAAAGTTCGTATCATTGAATGGATACTAACTGCTTATACATAGGCCTGACTCAGCGGACCGCGAACGAAGCAGTGGTGCACTGTTCTTAAAGAAGCATATCAAGTTGCACTCTTCAAGTTCTAACTGGCTTACCGATGCTGCATATTTGAACCATGGCTTCGTTCCATCGTCTCTAAGTCCGTCTGAGTCAGGCTGGGGTCGATCGGTCGGTACTCAAGTTCTGGAGCGATCAAACCATGTCTATTGTAAGTACACAACCGCTTGTGACCTCCTGTGACGGCGGTGTACTAACAAATAGTTCAAAAGACTAGAACAAACAGTGATTGGACTTCAAAATAAGTCGCAGCAAATCGGCAAATCGAACTGTAACCTATCGTCCACCATACGAAAGGGTCTTCTGCCGATATCGTTACGGCAGCATCAGCCGGAAAACCTACATCCCACTCCACTTCGGTGGACGGGCGCACGGTATTTTTTCCCACAGCGCTGTCCATCCTGATCAATATGTGCTTGCACACTTGCTCTGCTGTCAGTCTGTCTTCCGGTTTATGTTTCCTCATTAGTGGACCACGAGCAAGACACACAGTCGATCATTTTCAGATAAGTTCAAACATTGACATTGCTCGAGCAGCACGAAAATTTATCCACAAACAACTACACTGATTGACTCTGAACTAGATATTGCTCCATCAGCCATGATACCAAAGCGAAAGCAGAAACATGGCTCACTGTCGCGATGTACCACTCGGGCCCCCCGGCTCAACTTCCATGGTACGCGCAGATCTTTGCTTTCTAAGGCGTGCAGGTGAGTCATGTGGTTGAATCATGGTTGCACAGCGACCTGCTCATACTCACATCAGGTGGACTTATACATTGATAGCGCGGGCAGCAATTTGCATCTGTTTTGCAAACTGAATTTGTCTTGCCACATGCACTGACAATCATAGGCGCTGTCAAAGAAGTAGCAACGACGAGGAACGAGAAACGCATTTTCTGTGCTAGATGATGCTGCGAGGCGGCGATGAAGAATCTTGTGAGGAGATTCTCAAATGATATCGGGGAGCGCTATGGGACGACAGCCAGCCTTTATATCGTGCACATACTTATGAGCATGATTCTGATCGATCAGGCAGAATTGTTGTGGCTGTCTCGATGACAGAAATTTTGGTAGAACCTGCTGGAGCGTGTTCAATTGAAATGGGTATAATCCATGATATGCGAGTTCTCCCGCTGTCTTTGAATCCGTCTACTAAATGGTTACTCCTGAATTCCAGTGCTTACAGATAAAGCAACATATATACATTGCCAACACAATTGTACAGCATACGAGTTCAATTCTATGCATGCGCAAGCGCGAAAGGGTCTTCTGCCGATATCGTTACGGCAGCATCAGCCAGAAAACTTACATCCCACTCCACTTCGGTGGACGGGCGCACGGTATTTTTCCCATCAGCATCGATCCTGCTCAATATGTGCCTGCACACTTGTTCTGCTGTTAGTCGGTCTTCCGGTTTATGTTTCCACAGGGTTTCTATGAGACTCCACATAAAGTCGTCCAACACTTGGTGTGTGTCACGTGGCCGCTCTGGCCGCTCTCCCCTCAGCACTAAAGGCTGAATCAGCTGGTTTTGAAACGGGCACCTCCCAGTAAACATCTGCAAGTTTTGTCGTAGGCCAAGCCGAATGAAGTATTTTTTTTCCATACCTCATAACAGACGCAAGCCAACGCATACATGTCGCACCGCCTTGTGTCAAACTTCTGGAGATCAGCTGCGCTCGTTGCGGCAAGAAGTTCTGGAGCCATAAAATGAGACGTTCCTATGATATCGGATGATGTTGTGGTCATTTGATTATTGGGATCTCGAGCCTTTACAATTCCAAAATCCGCTATACATGCACGCCCGGAAGACGTTATCAGGATATTAACCTGCAAATTCAAAGTTTTGACTCTCTAGAATCAGAGCTAGGCACATACACTTACGCCTTTCAGGTCGCCATGAGTCACTGCTGGGTCCATTGAGTGCAGGTACTCCAGGCCCCGTGCAACATCCAGGATCTTCACTACCGTAAGTTGGATCTCTTGGTATAAAGTAAACCTGTACTTACCAGTGGATACCTGTCAGCATCACGATGCTCCTTAAGGTAGTGGTTCACATGACCATCTTTCATCCATGGGGATACGAGGCACCAGGTCTTCTCAGCGTCGTCATCATAGACGTATACGCCGTAGAACGGAAGACAGTTAGCATGTCGTACATGGTACCAGATCACTGCCTCGTTAGAAAACGACTACAACGCATAACAACATGTGATCTTCTGTAGACGCCTGAATTGAAATGACCGACTTTATCAAATTGTTCTCGGGAACGATTACCCTCTAGCACCTTTTTCACAGCAACAAGGCGGCCGCTTAACTCGCCTTGATAGATCAAGCCAAATCCGCCACGAAAACCGGTAGGTTTTATGTCTAGAATACAACGAAGTTGCAAACTCTGCGGGAACCGTCCAGATTTCCTGGAGAGTTTGATCACAGCATTCACCAGATACCTTCTATATTTTTCCAGAATTTCAAACCGAGCCGCAAGTAGCTAACAAATGTCAAAGGGCGACTGCGGAATTCTAATTTAACGCTTACATTTTGCAGGATATCGACCATAAACTGTGCGTTGTCATCGGCATAGAAAGTGTGCCAGTTGTCGCGCTCTTCCGATGTTGTGTGCTCAACAATCAATGCTCCTATGTTGTTGATGTCGAGGTCGTGTATTTTCGTATCGTTAATCAGGCCAGTGTTGCAAATGTGCGTTCCGACTTGTGACTGTTCATAACATTCAGTAGACTCCTCACTGACCAAAGTTTTGCACACCCTTTGTAGAATGTGGACAAGCCCGTCCTTCATAGTCTTTAAATTTGGAAGGCAAGCATCACCTTCTCCTATCAACCTTGCCTTTATGTCTTCGAGTTCGACCATAAGACTGATGCCGCACATGAGAATTCAAAACACTGGTTTCAAAATACGACCCCGACCTTTGTTTCTCTGGAGCGCATAGTTGAAGGTGCGTGAAGGTGTACGCATACAACGCCTGATGGCAGCGTAAATCATGACGACTGACCGTTGCAACGCTGATGGACTCACACCAAGAACAGGCAGGTCCTCGACGCCCTCGCTGCACGCTTGTCTCAACTGATCCGGCAAGGCGACGAACGCATGCACGATGTCTTGAATCTCCGATTGGAATGTGTGGCGTTGCGGTCGAGTGATGACAGGAGCTGGCCGGGTGCTTGCCCTGGCTTGCCATTCCCCGAATGACACCGTGGGTCTGGGGATTCTGGGCGCATGTCGGTTAGGTAGCAGGTGGTGTTCTCGTATATGGTGCGGCATATCCGTGCGTTCAAGGACCGCATCGCAAGACGCGCATTTCATCATCTGCATGGTTACAATAATCGTTGATCTCTCAAGTCGACCGGGCGTTGAAGATCTTGGTTATATCAAAACGATCAAATCCTTACCATTGGGGGATGTAAAAGGCGTACCATAGATCGAAACTGCTTATCAGGCAAGAAAGATGCGGCGTGAGAGTGGCAACTCCAGCTGGCGCTAAATGCGTGTGCAAATTCATCTGTGCCATCGGACCGACCCTTTCAATTGGAAGACGACCGAATGAAATTCTATATGCAACAAGGCTGAGAGATGAGGTGTGACAATGATGGACGGAATATCAATAGATGATGTTTGTAAGATAATCAGCAAGAAAAAAGAGGTCATCAGGTATCATTAATCGGTAGGGAAGTGTCATGTTGGAAAGTAATCAGATAAACATAGTGCTATGTCGATATCCTCGGTAGAAAATGTCAACTAGGGGGCAATCACGCGAGACCAGTCTTTGCGATATGCGATCGGATAATAGCCTCTCCCACTGACGTATCTGTATGAGCGCTTGGGAGGGCAGACATCTGTGAAAACGTACCATTGACTATGATGTCCTGCGTTGCCCGGATATCCTGAATTTATATTGATTAGGTCTCGTGCAAACCTTAAATGACCGGAAAGCTCACCAGCATAGAGGTGAAGTGCTGGATGGCGACACAATTATTAGTGAACAAAGTTACTTCAAAACACGAGAAAAATCTATACATACAACATACAACGCTCGACGGCTGATATCGTGGCGCCTGTGAACTTGAATAAAATGTGCCCTGAAATATTCTGACACATCGGCGTAGGTGTTCGGGCGGTCGCCGTATGATGTGATACTATTGTTGAGCTGTGAGCACAGCCAACCAACAAGTGATCATCAAATCTTACTATTTCCGCACTTTGACCCCAGCTTCTAGCTTCTTCCTTAGCAGATCAGTCTGCGCACAGTCATGTCACATCAGTCACACAGTCAAAGCTGTAAAAATGATGAAAACCTTGTTAAGCATCAGAACCAAATGCGAGTTCTTCAGGAGTTTGTTTGAGCATATAGCTGTGAATAGCTGCAACGAGTCGTCCACTCTATTTGTCCGCGGATCTTCTTCAAGGTACTATTTCGGGTACAATGAATAGGAGCACAAGGGGAGAATACACAGGAACATACTTGATCAAATGCACTGATTGGCGCTAAAAAAATGATTGCAGTTGCTAATCCGAAACCAAGAAAGACGGTCAGTTAGTAAACATTCCTTTTTGCGGACAATGAATGCGCCTCCGCGGCGCCCGTGTCCGGAGGTGGCAAATGCAACAGAGCAAAACACCCACCATCGTCAAAGTATGGTACCCACGCGTGGCGCTGATGCGATGGTTCGGAGTCAGACGGCAGATTTGTTTAGATCATTAAATATCATGAACTCGCCTGGCCACGCTAAAAATGAGTGTGGAGCCTTGTTGAGCTAAACAATAGAACAAGAAAAATAGGCACACACGTACAGCTCCGCCTACGTCGTACATCAACCAGTTATATCTAGAGCCGCATAATTCTATATCGAAAGAATGCTCAGCCACACCGAGCGTTTGTAGTCTAACGTTGAGAAGATCGGCTAGATCAGACACATTCAACGTTTGTAAACAATGTCAGAACACGTATGCACTTACCCGTTGACGGAAGGTAATCAGGCTGCGCGACACGTTTGATGCTGTCCAGGAAGCTGCGAGGACAGTCAACAAACAACACTCAAGGTACAGATGGAACGTACAATGGTGCAGACTCATCAAGCCTAATTCGCCTGTTGTTGAGGAGTATCCGAACGGCTGGGTGCTTCCAGAGCTCATCTACCTCATTTTGAACAGAAATGAGCGTCCTCGAAGCCAGGCTGGTCACCTGAGCAACAGCGGGAGAAAGTCCGCCAGTACCAGGAAGCGCACGACTCCGGTTGGGCGATAAAGGGGTGACAAGGGCCTGCCATCCTGCACGAACATATACACCAGTTCGGCCGCCGGTCACAGCGACTCCGCCGCTGAGTTCCGATGCCAGCGAGTCCTCCATTGCAACCAGAGGCACCAACTTAGTACGCAGCCCGGAGAATTCCTCGCTCAGATCACCCAAGGGGGCTAGGGAATGTGCGACAGCCTGGCCCTCCAACGAATCATCAATCGAGAGGTTGTTGAGTTCGTGGTCTAGTTCGTCTAGAATCATTCGAACAGCCTTGAGTATATTGAAATACACAACCGGACGCCATAGGGGACGTTCATGATCGAGGGCATGTTGGGCGTAGTACAACTGGAATTGCTTCTGGAGTGTTGATTTTCCGGATTCTGCCTGGCCAAGAAGCATGACTGTATGATTACATACATACGTTTAAGTCAACTCGGAGTGGGTAGTGTTCCTCGACAGAACGTACCCTTCACTTGTCTTCTCTGAGCATCCTTGCGCCGCACCCAGTCTCTCTGCAGATTTCGATGATAAAGAGTTCCCAGTTCAGCAGAGGAAAATGGGGTACAAACCTTGAGCTCCTCATCAATTTTCTGGCTGACTCTGGCAGCCTCTTCATCGTAGAACTGGTATTCCTTGTCAATGTTGGCGGCGTCGAAGGTCTGCATTAAGATTGGTTCGGAGGTGGAGTGGGCATGACCCGGTCGTTTGGTCATTCTTCGGTTTGAGCACTTTCAACTTGAGATGCGAACGGTGGAGGAGAAGGTCGATTGCGGCATGCCTGACAGGGCTAATATCCCACGTATGTACACTAGTACAGGAATTTGGGCAACGAAGATCAAAGTAATACTTCCAGTCCCATCAAACTATCGTTGTTTAGGTAAGCTATGAAAACACCTTACAGCAAACCGTCCTTTATTCCCTTATACACCTTGACAAGTCACTGTCGTGATGGCTTTTGGTACTGAACTGACTCTTTAGCTCAATAACATCACATCTTTCGAGGGAACGCACTCGTGACTTTGATCATATCCGAGAGCACGGATAATCACTGAGGCTATGCTGATGGTGGCTCATGTTGCAGTAGCTGCTTTTCCCGACGGAGTTGAAGCGTTCCATAAGCCCTTAGGTCAGTGCCTGTGGATCCTCAGCTCCACCCGGCGGCCATCACTGACTCACTGTGGCAACCGCAGAACACTTAGCATGTGCTACAAGATATGCAACTGACATCATATAGTATCATACGGGCATATTCTGTGAACGAGGTTGTCACAAATCAAAGACACGAGTAGTAACGTTGCGGATTGATGCTGTGCTTCCCAAAGGTGCAATCGCACTTTTCTAAATTTGCTGCAGATAATAATCACGCTGGCCAGGATCAGTCATCTTCAATACGACTATCCGAAATTAACAGCATGACTACTGCCTCTTTGATGACGCCTTTCCTATCCTACTGTCACTCTCCATAAGATCTGTGCAGAGATCCGTTGTTGATGGACTGCGGCCCAGACTACCGAACAACGTAGACATTATGATTGGCGGTGGACAGACAATATGCAGTAGCTACCACGGGACACGACTACCCTCTTGGACTGGTGGTTTATTTTCGGTTGACGGATGAACGATCTCACAATCAATAATGGCCACAGCATGCAACCTCAGTGACTCGACGCTTGAGCAGCATCAGATTTTTAGGTTCAGACCTCCGGCTTTCGCATGCATCCATATGCTATTGTTCTTCTCTAAGGGCGCCGTCTTGTGTAGTATATCGTACACCACGACAAGTCTACAAAACATCACAATGTGAGTATTTGTCGCACGAAATACACTGCTTCGAGTGCTAAAAATAGTTCTTCAAGCGAATAACTCGTCGCATTCGCATTCTGTATGTCTAAAGATCTCCCATAATAGGGTCAACAATTGGATGACTATCCGTAGGCTCGAATAGTACAAAATACAATATAATCGACCACACTCGGAAGTGAAACTGCGACGCCGCAATTCATTCAAGTTCATTATCTGGCGCCCATTCCAATGAGGAACAACTGCGATTCACGTCCAACCCAAACTTTCCCTCTGACCTTTTTGGATTCGTATGCGTGCGACTAATGACTGCAACCCGTGCATAAAGTACGGGACTTGACATGGTTAACATACGATCTTGTCGACTCTCGAGAAAGCTCGACTTCAGCCATTCGCCTTGCCGCTAACATCCTCGTATCTTCTACGTGGTCGAGATTCGAGAACTATTCATCGTCAAGCGCTGTAACAGTATATTGTTATTGCCACAAATTCCGCACTATTGACATTCCAATGCTCTATGGTTTTGTTTTCATATAGATTATCGTTCGCAAAAGTCTTTCAAAGTCCAAAACAATCTATTCCAGTCTATTTTGTCTGTCAACTCGGACGCGATTATAGCGCCTCGAAGCCCGAGGGTAGACTGGTGACCAGCCCGTCTATGAGGCAAGCCGTCGATAGACGGACTGGTAAATCTGGGTTTGAATTTGGATGTCGAGCGGATTCTCACAGTAACGTGACGTATAAGCCTTTTCGGGCATAACAAAACCATGTGAGCTTTTTGCTAAGCCCTTGCAAAGAGTCGTTAAGTCCTTGTCTGCGGTCAACTTCGACAACGGAACATTAGCTGCTGGGCGGCATCGTTCGACGGACGTTTCATCGCCCATGTAACTTATTCTTCATTACTATTGCTATTTCTATTACTGTCTTTGGTCTATCACTGCCTGCAAAATCATGCAAGACTCTTCAATCATCCTGGATAGTGATTTCAATCGTTCGGTAGACTCTGGCTTCGTTGATATCACAGCACCATGCACCTCCGAGGCTGTTCCGACTTCTCCCAGACTCTCACCACACGAACGTATCAAGTCTGTTCTCAAGATCTTATGAGAAGGCCGTATATCAACTCTCGACTTTAGAGCCCGTTCAGCAACCGATGTTTGAACGAAAAATTTGGGAAATCAAACATTACCAGTCAGCACACACTACCGAAATTCAAGCTCAGTCTGAATAGTGAGTGAGCGGCCAATAATGTTGATAATGTTGATAACATTTACGATGA